CTAATTAACAATTTACCAACACTCAACTTTATATAGAGATAGATGAAAGAAACCTGTACCATTCCAATGGTTTCATTATCAAATGATAGCTGAAAACTGCCGTGAATGTTTTTTTTTCAAAGTAGGCCGCACGAATGATAAGGCATTTTTACGTTCTTGAATTAGGTTGGTGCAAAAGTAATGCGCGTTTTTTAGACTCGGTTTCAGGCAACTTTTTTTCACCAAACTACTTTTTTTTTTGGAAAAGACTTAGCATACTTTTAAGAAGCTCTTTTCATGCTTTGTTCAATGGTTGAAACAAGCTTCTAGCCTCACTTGATGAAAATATGCGAAGCTTTACACAACCCCACTACTTAGAAATCAAACGCGAATGGCGGCATTTAAAATTTCAGCTACTATAGGTAGTAGGATTGTGTGCATTATTCACACTTTGTCATCTTCTTAATTATCTAGACTGAGATATCAGCGCCTTAACATAAGTAGTTCGTTTTGGTCATTCTGTGGTCCATAAATTTCTTCTGAAAAACGCAATCGCCAAAACTTTGCTTATTTCTATAAGCGTAAGGGTAGGCCTCCTGTTGACAATTTTTGCAAGAACATTTAGCTCTTCAGTACGCAAAAAATCGAGAAACTTCATGTTTTGGGACTTTGGGGCCTACGAAAAAATGTTTGAAAAATCTGACAATTTTGAATTCTGATTTTTCTCTTTTCGCAAATTTTATTTGCTTGAGCACTTTTCACCTTGTTTTGTACTACTGGCTTGCTTCTACAAGATAGGCTACTTACCATTTTTACTAACAAATTATGAAGGATGTTATGACCAGTTGAAAACGAGTTTCACAAAAAAAATTTTGCTTATCAATTGATAAGTTTCTGGCCGTCCGTGATGTAACTATAGAAGGAGGTGCGCTGTATTGCGAAAGGTTTTGGCGGCGGTGTAGGAGGAATAAAAGGCCTTACCGCGTGTGTCCGAGGAGGAAAGGGGAGGAGCTGGCCGCGTGCCAAGAAGGATCCGGCAACCTTCCAAGCTCCGCCCACTGCTCTGAGTCTGGGTCTTGCCTTTTTTGCTCAAGAATTCCTTGATTAAAAAGGCTAGTTTAAAAGACGTAAGGTGGAGATACAAGGAAGGGAAAATTAAGTTCGTGACCAGTTTTGAAAGACGAATCTTTCAAATGGACTTTTGTATGAATTCACATCAATGCAATTCTAGCTTTTGGAGGCTGAATTGATGAACAATTTTTATTAGAGCTCCGACTCGATTTCAAATTTTCATGAACTCCTCTTTTGTGAAATTTACTTTTCCTCCCATTCCTGAATGGCTTCGCGAAAAAAAACTTACTCTACGTTGCATTTTATCCTGAGATAATTTTCTCAATCTTTCACGATAGTCACTATGTTAGTTGCATTTACGCTAATCGATAGCCGATTAGTTGACCTTTTCAGGATCAAGCCAGTCGTCTGATAAACCAAGAGAGTCAAGACCTATGTGAAAACTTTTGTTCATTAACTCCGTTAAATGTTTTACTCGGAGGGGAAGGGAAAGATTGAGAAAAATTTGCTAGAAAAACGTTGAAAAGTCGTGTTTCAAAAAGGTGAACTTGCGAAAGTAGGTGCCCAATCGTTAACCAAAAATGTTGGAGTTGCAAAATCAGACTTGGCCAGGAAGCTGCAAAAAGCAGGCAGAGCCACCAAAACTTGTCTGTTATAACAGTTGTAGTAGTTTTCATTGGTTTTCCCCTATTTATATTAGATATTGTCCCAATTCTTCAATCCTATGGCTCGACAACTGCCAGCGAGGTAAAGGTTGTCCAGGTTTGGTTCGCACTTCAAATCTAAGCTGTGAAGCTTTACTGCGCCCTCTCTCAAGCACAGCGATGTTTGCATTTGCAATTAACGTCTTTTTTGGATATGAATATCCAAGATTAGTTGTTAGTTTCTTCGTTAAAGTTATTTTTAAAACCACTTCAAAACTTTATTTTTGGCTTGTGTTCTCCTGCTTTAATTCAATTTTTTGGTAACCCGCCTTCTAAACTTTGTGTCATTATCACTTCGATTTTGAACAAAATTAACCAAAAGTTAAATGGTAGAGGTGTTATTTATGAATCTTACAAAGATGACCGTTACTCTATACATTTGTTAGGTTTATGACATAATACCATTTCTATTATCATCCTGGTACCTGAAAACCTGTTTGAGAATCTTTGCTATCCATTTCCCAAGTTCCAATTCAAGTTTAACCTCTAAGCCCATCGAATTTGAAATATCTGGTAGTCCATCTACCATTCTTGCTGAACGCATAATGGGAGCATCCCTTGGGTGGAGCGATGGGCGGAGCCTTCTTTGCCTTCCACTTTCCCCTTGGATACAGGCGGCAAGGGCTTTGGTTCCTCCTGCACCACCTCCAAAGGTTTTGACGTGCCATAACTTAAGAAAGTTATGGCACGTCAAAATGAGAACTCGCAAAACGCGCATTACTTTTGCACCAACCTAATATTTTCCACTGAAATATCCCGCTTAGCTCGGTCCCTGTCAATCACGTTTAGCAACATGTGTCTCTTTCCCATGTCTCAGTTGTCCACGCGCCCTAACCTTGACATTTTGACTCGGGAGTTGTCTTGATTAAAAGAAATCCCAAAAATATCACTTCTTTATGGGCTAACTCGTCATAGCTTAGAAGCCGAAATCATATGAAACTACCAGCTCGGAATTCAGCAAATGATCAAAGCGTTCGCAATCAAAACCAATGCTCAGCGTAATTATATTTAGAGCACAATACTCACCCTAAGTTATACAAGAAAACAGTGCGCGGGCCATCTACATGCGAGACTCTATCTCAGCTCTTATATATGCGCCTTGATATCCCGGCGTCTTTATCAAATTCACCTAAAGACTAATAAAACGCGAGTTCCCTCTTTATGGCATACTCCTCTTTCCGGTTCATTAGATTTTCGGTGCTGATCCGAAAGTTTCTGACGTTTTGAGCGTAAGGATTTCGGGCTTTAAAGACAAGCTTCTTACAGTAACTTGCATTTAAGCATTGCAGGCGCAAATTACGATGTTTCTCCAATGGCGTAGCTGCTTCTGATTTATTCAAGCCGTCTTTGTGCCATTCAATACGACTGCAAAGCAAGCATTCTGTTTCGCCAGTGTAAGTGTTGCCAGATGATAAGTTCGCCTGCAACATGAACCTGCACATTTAGAAACGCTATTCCCCCCCCCCCTCTCCTCTCTCAGTGGAGGCTTCTCTTTGGTGAAAACTGTGTTTGTTGACTGCATTTGACATTCAGAAGCATGTACTTCGGCTTGTGCTGGGCTTATGACGCAGCTGTCATCTATATACCGACCGTAAAGCAGGATTTTTGCTGCATACTCGTCCTTCTATCTTAGAAATGACGGCCGACGTAAATGCGAGAGGTGCCTTATAGCTAAGCCCACACCTTCGATAGTCTAGAGACAGGGCGCCAAAAGTGAAATTTGTTTGAACATCTGAGGTCATAAATAGTGAAGGTTGTTTAGAACAAGGTAAGGAAAAACGCACTTTTGACTAATCGAAGAGGTAAGGGCTGGTGGTCTGCATCATGAACAGAAGCAAGATCTATACAGTGCATGAAAAAACCGCGTGAAAATAGCCAAACTAGGAGAAATACAAGACATTTTCAAGGATTTTTGCCGGATTTCTTGATCAAATCAGAAAATGTGGTTTTGGGACGTTTTCAGCGTGAAAATAGAGATCAATTGCTTCAAAATGATATATAGCTTGCTGAATTTGATTTCGAAACAGCGAAGAACAGGGTACCAGAGCCAAATGCCCCGCGCCCCGCGTTTGGGGTAGCGAGGTAGCGCGCAGCGCACGGAGACGCAAACGAGCAGCGGAGACAGACCAGAGCCGACGGAGCATTTGGCTCTGGTTGTAGATCTCCGCGGGGTCTCAATGAACCTGCAACATTATTTTTAATCGTCATGACACGACGAGGAGCACTGAACACGTCGCGGGTCTTGAAAATCACTCCATAACGAGATAGACCAGCATTTCCGTGCGCGATTCTCTGCGCGAGAATTAAGCGCAGTTTTTCGTTTTTATTCAACTCCAATAGCTTTTCTAAACTTCTGAAACTCTATTTTGGTCAAATGAGATGTTAATTGAGAGATCCTGTCCTAATTCTGGTGAAAATTCCACAGAAACCTTCTTTTTAACGTAAAAAAGGCTATGGAAACGCAAATTCTCGGTTTTGCTGAAAGGTAAAGATATTATTTCCTATTTTGCTTCATTAACATACGTTCCGATATAGTCAGGATAATAACATCCAGGGCTGAGCCCCGGATGACTTTTGCTTTTCCAGGTGAAGGTTGTGTCCCCTCATAGCCCTCAAAGTGAAGGTTACCAGAGTACGTGGCTCTATGTAACGAGGGTATGGCTAAGCCTCTGATCTGCCTTTAATATTGGCCTGACCATCGGAACACTGAACATTGTAAGCATTCGTGAAGTAGGGCTCAAACTTCGCGCTCACTCATGCTCACTTACCTCCTGTAACTATGAGCGTCCCAGCTCAAACTTTGAAGAAAAATCGGTGAGCAAAAAGAAAATCGATGATTTTAAAATTGAGTATTGCTTTTGTAAACAGCTGCTCACCTATCCCCCCCCCCCCCCTCCCTGCACCAACTCCCTCCCCCACAGCTCGAAGTTGGCAAAAATCCATGAAATCGACACTGATAGAAGACGAAAAGTAGCCCACGACACTTGACCCGAAATGTATATGGGCAAAGTTTAACCCAAATTGGTTCAGAAATAGAACTTTATGCCGGAAACACACTTACGTACATACACAAGACACACATACCGACTCAACGTTGTATAAAAGATTAAGCAGGGGACTTATGCATGCTATGTCTAATCAGTCAAGCATCTGCACCTATTACCGCACTCACATCCCATAAAAGTCTTAACCCGAAAAATCGATCGATGACAAGTGACAATCATTAAAAGGCTTATCACACGAAAAGCCAGTTGTGACTGCAGTGTCATGTTGCCCTTTCGCACTTCAAAACCGGCTACTTCCGCATAATTCAAATGTACGGTACGAGGAGCTGATCACACTTATTTGCATACCACCGCCTTTACCGCGTACGTTTCGTTCTAGTTTTCTTTCTCAAACTCTTTTTCCGTTGAGAACATGATTGCTGATAGACTCAGCTAATCAATAGTGTAATGTAAACTGTATTTAATGGGTGTAAATCAAGTTTACAAATGCGCTGACTTTTGGTAAAGACAGTAACGCGGCCTTCTACTTACTAGTGATAATTCGCGGCCATGGTTCTTTGAAGAGGTGAATGTGACCCTTGCAAGGCCCAACTCTCTGATGTGGATTGCAATACGTGATTTTTCATTCAACGTTTCCCGTGTCTATGGATGTGCCAACTTTAGTCTTTTTCATATCTTCTGTAAACTTCTGCTTGCTCAGTCTTCACCATCCAACATAAATAAGATAATTCTCATGGTTTCTTTAAACATCCTTTCATAGCCAATTTGGTGATGTTTTCTTCTCTTCTCCTACTCTTATGACTACATTATCGATCAGGGTGCTTTTCTCCTAATAGACTTGTTTCTTTGAGCAGTTTTCACCATGCTATGACGTTGTCATTAACAGGGAAAGTCAGCTAACTTTTGAAAAGCGACACAGAGCATCGGAATCAACTCAAAACTCTGATTTTAAAATCTGCTACCCATAGCTGCCAGGCATTACTTTGAAGTGAGTTATGAGCTTTTTCCTGAGCAAAGTTTGCGGCTTGACCGGGTTACGAATACTACGGTATCATCAAATAAGTGGTGGTCCAATTGCACAATAAACCCTATCAAGGCCAAGATTCAGTTGTTATTTCGAATTCCCACCCCTTTTCTAGCAAATTTCATCTATACGCCTTGTTCCTATAATCAGTTATATGATAATGGCACATGCTAAAAAGCTCATAACTCACTTCATAGTAATGCTTCGCAGCTAAAGACAACGTATTTGGAATCAGCATCTCAAGCGATTTCGGATGTATGCGTCGTTTTTCGAAAGGCCGACTTAAGTTGGGTAGCCTTCCTTGTAAGACTCCGAAAAAATTTTTGGGGTGCTTCTCAAAATTTTTGCCGGCCCGCCCCCGAAAAAAATTTTTTTATAAGGGCTAATTTGAATTTTTAAAAAATTTTAAAAAATATTTTAATTATTTACAAAAATAAACGGTACTTTTCCGTTATCCGGACCCATTTTTTCGAAGAAGGATAATTCTGCATTCCTTTACTATATTTGGCCTCAACTTCATAGTAAGGAGTGTCAACCTTTTGCCACGAGTCAAAAAAATTTGACATGCCATCTACATGTTTAACAAGTTTTACCAGGAGTTTGTGTTGCCTACCTAGCGCCGTAAGTTCAACCTGTTTTTCAATCAGTAACGACCCCATTTTCAATTAAACACTCTGAAAAATGAACATTTTTTTAATAATGAGGTCATCCTGTCATTAATGAACAGATGAGACTTGCCCAGAATAGAGAAGTGCGCTAAGGTTCCATCATCTAAGTGGCGTAACAAGCAGAATCGAGGTACTTTACGCCATCATTTATAGTCTTTCCTGGCTAAACTCGCATGGCTAAAAGTTTGAAGAGAGAGACAATCTTAAATCATTGCTAGAAGTGACCAAGATATTCTAATAATGGTTTTAGATTGTTTTGCTCCTACAGAGAAGAGTTAAACAGCTTTTAGGTAATCACGAATGCTCTTTTACCTCACTGGAAATGATCTCGAAAAAACATGTCAAAATGGACTGAAACGTGTCAATTTTTCGCTGACACGTGGCGGGGAGACAGCCCTCGTAGAATCTATGAAAAATTATTCTTAGACTGAAAAACGTATTTTGTGAGAGCCTTTTGTAAAAATGGGTTCGGATAACGGAAAAGTACCAAATAAACAAGTCGTTTGCACATTTTTATAACCCATATAGGTAAGTTTCAAAAATTTCGCGACCCATTCTCGGGGGGGGGGGGGGGGCGCTCTCCCCCTCGGTCCGCCACTGGGTGAAACCTATGTGATCAAATTTGATGGTCAGCCTCATTTGCACCACGCCTGTGCTCCTGTCACGCTCACATGGTGATTAGCTACTATAAGGCGCAAGTGATAGAACGTATGGTACATCTCGATGGTTTTTATGGCATCCATTTGCCACATAGGATTCCAGTAAATCGTATCCAGTTCGTCCGATCTGCGTTTATCCCCGTTTTATCATCTCAAATTCCTCATGTGTAGGGTACACTTTCCTAATTTGAGGGATGTTTTTTCTTGAACAATGTGCTCCCGATCTGAATCGTTTCAGATTTTCAAAAATATGATTTAGTTGTCCACGTTCCCACATATAAAGATCCTTCCTGCTTTTTGTCATCGTCAAAACATTATTTCACTGTAGCCACTGTCTGAACATAGCGGGTGATACCTTTACAGATAATTCTGATTCTAACAATAATCTTTCTTCTGACACTATGTGCTCGAATAGTGCCCACCATGCTTGTGCATTCTGGCCTTTGCCAATCCAAACAGATTATGTGTTCACACTAAGAGAGAGAGAGCGAGAGCGCGTCTCTAGTAACCCTCTGAAGATCACGATATGTACCCTAAATTTACGCTATAAGACGCACCTTTTTCTGTTTTTTAAAAGTGCCGCTCAGCCACCTCCTTGTGTTTCGGAAAACGAGACTTATGCTGCACGATACTCTCAGGCAATATGCAACACTGTATACAGTTCTTTGATTGCGAAGTTCTTCGGCGGGTCTGTCCTTTTCGACTTTAGAAAAAAAAATCTCCCGCGTCCTATACGCGTAAAATAAGGGTATCTTAAGTTTGTCTGCTATTTTAGAAGAACGTAGGCCTTTTGCCTCCGATAATTTATAGATAAAGGTGACTCATACAGTCGAAGGGATACCTCCGGGGGGCAAATGGCGCGAGTATGCCACTTCGCACTCTGGAGCGCTCCGGAGCCCTGCCATTTCACCCATTTTGGTGCTCCGGGGCTCTCCCAAATCTGGCGCACCTCCGGAGCAGAGATTTGCGCGTCCCGGAGAGGGGTCCCATTTGTTCACCGTGACGTCACGGTGACGTCACAAGCAGGCGAATGGGACCCCTTTCCGGGACGCGCAAATCTCTGCTCCGGAGGTGCGCCAGTTTTGGGAGAGCTCCGGAGCACCAAAATGGGTGAAATGGCAGGGCTCCGGAGCGCTCCAGAGCGCGAAGTGGCAGACTCGGCCATTTGCCCGCCGAAGGTATCTCTTCGACTGTCTGAGTAAGCTCACTGAAGCTGGCAAAGATTTTGGTTCGTTAAAGGCAGTGGCTCGGCAAATCTCAACCCAGTCAAATTTGCGCTTACCTGGGGTTTTTCAACACGCTGATCCCGAAAATCCACTTCTGCGAGCTTGAAAACGGCGAAAACGAGCGTTTTTTAATGTCCTTCCCTTTGAATTGGACGAGTGGAGCAAGGCCGATGGCGCTAAATCGTGGCAGGACCCAATGGTTATGGCGTTGCGGCGCGCAGCCTCCAATGGTGAGAAGGAAATTGCCAACTCGTCCAGATGCGTGTAAGACTGGCCTGCGCGTTTAAGTTCGAGAGCGATTTTCTCGGCAGGGAAAGCATGCTGTGCAACTGGGATTTCACTGTTTCCATAGTTGGGCGATAAGGAACCTACCGCGTTAGAATCCCGTGTTGTTGGATTTTGCCGATCCACTGCCTTTAAACTACCACGAGAAGCTTCTTTAGGTTCAGATGATTAAAAATAAGGTTTTAACACGTTTCGGACCGCACAATCGCGCGCGGCGAAAAAAGTGCAATTTCAGCCATTGGCCAATAAAGGGACCTTATTTCGTAGACTGTGTGCTACATCTGTAATCAGCTTGTCAGATAAGTTCCATACCCAGAGTTCTGAATGGTTTCGAAGTGTTTAGCTTTTGTCGTTTGTGAAGGACTACTGTGCTCTTCTAAAAAACAGGAACAAGAACTCAGTTTCTATTAGTATTCAAAAGTATTTATGTTGTAGACGATACATATCAGTATTGAAATAACGGTTCTTCTCTTTGATATCAAAGCAAAGAGAAGTTGCGACGTCGCACGTGTCGTTCGCGTTGCCGCACTTCATTGCAACTGTTGTTCGATTTGTGCTCATATCTCCTAAACAAATATCGGCGGCACAACTCTACAAAGTCAGATTGTGTCAGTATAGTGTAGCCAGCACGAGATTTGGGTGAAGCTATTTATTACATCAGTGGCCTAACGCGTTTCGACTAGTCTTCGTCTTCGGAGGTCTAAAATGGTGCGGGATTAGTGGTCTTATGTCTGCCCCACCAAATGCTTCATCAACCCTCGGTTAGCTTCTCGATCCCCTCTCGAGTTTTACAAGCAAAAGTCGCTAAATGGGAGAAGACGAACACACCTTTGCTCCACCGCCGGTCACTTGATGGTATAGTGCGACTGCTTCCTTGGTGACAGTAGTGCCAGTGAGTCACATTAAGCGGCTCATTGTAGATTTAAACATTGCACTACTCTATCATAGCTCACACGGTGATAAAAATGGCGTGAAGTCATTCGTAGCGGCTAAGCACTCGTTTCTATTGTTCATAAGCGGTTTTCTGCGTGTGATCCAAAACGCTTCGGGAGCTTTCCGCGCAGACGTATCTTTCTCGTAAGCCAAAATTGTACGTTTGATTTCGTAATCTTGATCGCGGTGGTATTCATGTTTATGTTTGAAAAAAATGTTTAAATTTTTTTGTTTTTTGTTTTTTTGTTGTTTTTTTTGTTTTTTTTCTTGTTTTTTTTTGTTTTTGCGAAACTAGACTACCTTTTCGTTTATTGGCAAGATGTTCTTTAACTCTTATGCCAAGTGCTCTTCCGGTTTCTCCTATATAGCCAGCACCACAAACTAAACATTCTATCTGATATATAACCCCTGTTTTCGCTCAAACACCAATGCTGCTATGTGGACAAACTACGCACTCTTTCGAGATGCAGTATTTGTCATAGAGCCTGTTTCGTACAAGTCGTCGTTTGAAACTACCGCTCGGAATGTTCACTAAAATGACATCGTTGCTCAGTTGTGCTCGTTTAATGCTGTGCCGTATTGCAACACTGATTTCATCCAAAACGAAAGAATGACAGAGCGCTATTTTGTTGTTATGTTGAGTAGTATTACTTGAAGGGAATGGTCTACCACGAGCAGGATGCATGGGATACCCATTTTTCTTAGCGATGCTCAGTCAGGGCCCAGGACGAGGTGGGCAAACGGGGTTTTCCAAAAGGAGTTCCCCTTTGATCCCAATAATTTTTACGAATACCCCCTTGAGGCCAAAAATGACGCTTTGTGCTTATGCAACAAAAGTACCGGCCACACTTCGCCTAAAAGCGCTCAAAAGCGCCCAAATTGCTCAAATTCCTCAAATTACTCCTCAGCTGTATCAAGATAAAAAAACAGGAAGAAAAACAAGCAAGAAAAATGATGAAGGAATGGGAAAATATCAAAGTAACGCAGTCATAGGAATGAGAGACGCCATTCCCGCGCGTATCGATTGACCGGGGCGCGCTTTCTATCTTAGAAAGCTAGTCTGCTGATGCGATTTTGGGCTCTAACAAGGACAGAGGAGTTTCGGAACCAAAATTTTACCATGTAGTAAACTTTAGGTGTATAACAGATTTATGTAAAAATTTTGGAAAAATTATGTGAATTGAAAGTTTTGTCCACCTCAGATGGGCATTAGGTGGGCAATTGCACACCTAATTTGGAAAAACGTTGGGCACGCTCTTCATTCACATAAGTTTTTCATAATTTTTCATACATTGTTCTCTAGTCCTACTGTGCGTATACACACCAAGTCTCGCACGATTTTGTTTTCTCTGCGCTGCAAACGAGCCAATTTTCCCTTTTCTGATAATGGGAAAATTTCACAAAAAAGCTTGCCATAACCTTCAGTTACTAGTTTTTCAATGAAACCGCTAAGTTAAGCCTTGCAGGCATGTGTTCATGTATCTACCAAGTTCCATACCGTATGGTCATATGTGCGCTGCAAACGAGCCATTTGAATTCACATCTTCATTTACCAGTTTTGCAAAATTTTTGGAAAAAATGAAAAAATTACTCCTCCCATTCACATAAGTTTTTCATAATATTTCATACTTTGTTTCTACTAGCCTCTCTTCGTTCGCTTACTTAATTTGGTGCTATATCGTTACGCTTGCATTGAGAACTGATAATGTAATCATGCTGTTCAACGGCATCGCTTATGCGACGTCGCGCACGCGGCAACTAGCGGGGGCGCGGCGTAGAGCGCGCGACTCTGCTGTGCGTTGAGGCTTATAAAAACTACTTCTCAATGAATCAGATGTGTGAGGTAATAAGCATGATTAGACCTTCTTTTGCTTGCACTTGGAATCTTCTGCAAAAACGATTTCCCCTTGCTTTTTCCACTAAAAACGATTTCCAGCTTGTCATTTGCCCACCTCGTGCCGGGCCCTGTGCTCAGTGCAACATTTCGCGACAATTTCTGTTCTTTCTCTCCCGTACATACCTGTGTTGCTGTTCTAAACATATTCCGGACAACGGCATTTTTGACGGCTGATGGAGTGCCGAACGAGCATGTAATAAGATATTTTTAGAGCTACTTTTACGATACCATTTTACATGAGTGTCGCTGCCAGACAGTTTAATTTGAACGTTCAAGTACGGAAGCCAACCATCAACCGGCTGTTCACGCGTGAATCTTATGTACTGCGACTGCTGATTGAGTAAACGGAAACACTCGTGCATTTCGGACTGAGTGGATGTTACTATGCAGCAGTCGTCCACGTAACGACAATACATAAGTGGAAGTCTGTCTTGACAGCACCGGTTTTTCGATCCTGCTTATAAAGCATATCGCAAGAAAAAACCTACAAAGTCATTTTGAAAAAATAGAAGCTTAGACCTTTGACTTGATAACCTTGGACTAAAAGAAAACCTCCTGTAAATGTCAGGAAGATCCTTCAGAGCAGCGTGCTGCACCATTTCCAGCACTGGTCCGAAACGTGTTAAAGAATCCTCTTTAGTCATAGAACATTCCTAAACGATTACGTCCCTCCTTCTGGGCGTGATAATTACACTTATATATAAAGCTTACTGTCTATTTGTATGTATGTCTGTCTGTCTACCTGTCTGTCTGTATGTGTGTACGTATGTTCCGAATAGAAAATTCCATTTAGAACTTTGACTAACCAAACTTTGCACACATACACTTCGGGGCGGGGCGGGTGTCATAGGCTACTTTTCGTCATTGAGCGACATCGTTTTATCGATCTTATCGATTCTTTGCAAAGATTGAGGTACGGGGCTGGGAGTTGCCATAGAGGGTAATCGAGCATACTGATTACGAATACAATATTAGTTTTTAGAAGTATCTGTTACTTTTATCGTTTTCATCAATTTTTTTTCGCAAAGTTTGAGCTACGGGGCTGGGACTTGGCGCAGGGGGTAAGCGAGCATGCTGATTATTCACACAAAGAAGTGGGCACAGGGAAAGGCTGTACAGGGATAGGGATGGGACTTTTGTCATAGTGTTTTGACAAGAACGGGCGGAGCCTTACCGGCTAGTTATACAGCTAGTTACACATATAATGTGCCCCAGAAAAGCTTCCTTCGTTAGCACATCCGGCTTGCCACAGTTATGGACCACGCCCGCTGTTCGGTCTCATCACGGTCGGCAGAGGGTCCCCGGTGCTGCATATGGCATTCACCAAAGTCACTGCGAATAAAACGTGTTATATCTGTCTCACTTTCACCCCACGCTGCAGAAGTTGAATCGGCGTGCCTTATAGAATTTTTCTTGACTTTTTCTGCGTTCAACAAAAGAGATAATTTACAAATCGAGCGAAAACGAAAACTGAAAATTTCTCATTTGGTCAAAAGGCAATTCGTTCGTCAAATATCAGAAAAGTTATTTGAAATGAATGTTAAGTGACTAGCCGCTAGAATGATGCTACTTCAAAAGCTAAGCCACGCATTCGTTGCGGAGTAACCCCATATTACCTTATAGAAGTTAATTTACAATGAGAATTTTGATAAATTACTCATAGTTGCAACTAAGGGTTTATCAAAAGCTCATTAACTGCTTATCTCATTAGGTCGTATCAGAATCATGCACAGCGCTATTGATTAGAATTTTTGCACGTCTTTAAGTTCCTATTGTTAATACCTCTATGACTAGCTGACTCAACCCCTCCCATCCGGTCACGGTTCAGTTGCCCGGGTTGCATTTTATTCATACCATGAAGCCCATTTGAAGTTTAGCCTAGTTGGCATGGATTTTTTGACCATGATGAATTATAGCTGTTGCATGGGCAATGATTTTGTCAAACCATTCCTCAATCTTTGCACAAGCAATCTAGCCCTCTGATTCAACCGGACTGGCGGGTGGAAGGCGATTGCTCGTACCCGCAACGCAGTCTGCGTTTCTCTCGCAAGCACGCCCCTAATCATTCCCTAGCCTTGATTAGGCCTTGAAACCCCGCCTTCCAGCCGCCCATCACGTTGAATCAAAGGGTATACAAATTTGTGTGGTCAGTGCATGCGAACCATTCAGGCCACTAAAAAAGGATGTCTTTAGAATCCCAATTTCAAGCTAGAACTTTTGCGTACGACACAAAGTATTAGGTTGATGCAAAAGTAATGGCCGATTTGCGAATTTTCACTTTGACGTGCTATAACTTTCTAAAAGACCCACATTTCTGAATGCGATAAAAACCCCAGAAGCAGCAAACCTTTCGGAATACAGCGCATACTCATTTATACTCAAACCATAAACGGGAAGAGAAATAAAAAACCAAAAAAGTTCTTCTGCTAGAACCTTGTTTTTGACAATTCATAACTTCCTTCAAAGTTTCTTAGTATGAATGATAAGTGGCCTACCTTGTAGCCGCAAGCCAGTAGTACAAAACAGAATGAAAAGAGTTCGGACAAAAAAGTTTGCGAAAAAGAAAAAAATTGAATTTCAAAATTTCTCAGTTTTTTCAACATTTTTTCAGTGTGCCAAAGTCCGAAACATAGAATTTTCTAATTTTCTACGTAGTGAACAGATGGATGTTTTGCAAAAACTGCTAGTAAATGTCCTAGCCCTACGCTTACAGAATTTAGCAGAGCTTCGGCGTTGACTTCTTCAGATGAAAATAATGGGTCATAAAATGACGCAACAGCTACCCATGTTTAGGCGCCGATATCTCAGTCTTGATAAATTCAAAAAATAAAGTTAAGTATGCATAATGTAGACAATTTCTATTACATACAAAAGCCAAATTATCGAAGAAATCCCATTGATGCGCTCGAATTCTGGCCGGAAAAGTGAATTCAATGAAATTCTGAATTTGGATGCGATTATTGAGGCTCAGTAACTTCATAAAAGATGAAGGTGAGGGCCCGTTTCAAGCAGCGTTGGATAGAGCATGAAAACAGCTTCGCGATGGTATACTGTCTCTATTGTAAAGAAGAAGTATTAATGGAAAAAAGTTGCCCTGAAAAAAGGCTTGGAAAATCGGCCATTTCTTTTGCATCAACCTAATATTATGCAGGTACTGATCACAAAGAGTAAACACAGCTTTGCTAATTTGAGGCAATTTTGTACGTAAGTGAAGTGATGTTTGAAACACTATACCTTGTTTACAGATGGACGACGACCTTGTCGATGTCCTAACTGTGCTCGCAGTTCTGGCGCTCGGCCTTATAGGACTTCTGGTATTATTAGTTATGGTGAGTACAACATTATGATTTTCTCTCTCTCTTCAAGATAAAGCCTCATATGATTAAGGAGAGATCCAAGCACGTTGACATTTTGCAAAGCGATATACAGGGTGTCCGTAAAGTATGTATACAGTGTTTGACCGTTGATATCTCTTTTCCCAAGAAGTCTTTTGCCTTGCTTCAGGTACCATTTTGTAGAGCTGGCTTCAACTTACAAGGGAAGGATACCAACATTAGTTGGCGATTGTAGATGAGATGTATATCATTAGACGCGCCTTTGAATGCTGATTCCAAATCTGCTTTCCTTTTTTGCGGAACAAGTTTCCAAAAGAAGTTGTGGGCGTTCAAAAGTCCAAATTTGTAGAGATTTAGGTGGCCTAAAATTGGCGGAAAGAAAGTGGAAAATGATTTTTGTACCGAGTATATTGTTTGCAAGGAAGGAACAAAGCTGGTGAAATTCGCATAGGTGTTGTTTTGGAGCTTTGCGCTGATTATAAGCCACTTAATGCGTGGCAAATCTGGACATTCAAAAGCTCGTAACTTCTTTCGGAAACATATTCCGCAAAAAAGGAAAGCAGATTTGGAATCAGCGTTTAAAGGCGCATCTAATTATATACATCTCACCTTCAATTGCCAACTAATGTTGGTATCCTTCCCTTGTTAGATTTGCAGTATGGAGTGAATCACCCATCCATCTTCATTACTGTAGAATTACGGTAGAAACTTGAAAATATGGTGTCAATGTGGAAAAAGCTGCCGTTTCAAAAATTTTCAAAAAGATGTGAAAACTTGTGTAATAGGGTTTTTATGGACGCTGAGTTCAATACTCAACTATTCACAAGATTGCGAAGCTTTCTAAACGGTGCAACCGCACTTTTTAGGAACATTGAAAAAATGGCCGCTACCTCTTACCTGGCATAACTCTTCAATGAAGCATCATAATAAGTTGGGAACTTTACAATTAGAATCATCAATTCTAATTAGCCTAGCGTAAAAGTTCTCAGGCTGTTTTGTTTCCTTTCTGAGGCAAAATATGGCCTTTCATGACTCAAAACCCTCTTTGAAGCTTCCACTGTAATCCTACAGTAATGAAGAGAGATGGGTGATTCACTCCATACCGAAATCTAAGTTGAAGCCAGCTCTACAAAACGGTACCTGAAGCAAGGCAAAAGACTTCTTAAGAAAAGAGTTATTAACGATCAAACAGTGTATACATACTTTACGGACACCCTGTATATTATTCGGTGAAAATTTGAACGCAAATCACTATTCCCCCATTATTTGCTGCAAACTTCCATGAAAACCTTATGAGCGTTTTCGTGCGGGCTCTTTAAAGCGATTTTTTTCGAGAGAGTGGCAGCTACAAAAGTAGGCTTTGCCGGAAGTTGCTCGATCTGTAACGGCACTTAAGTTGCGTTCAAACTGATCCGGAAGTTCGAGAACAGTTCGGCTCGATTCGAGCCCTGTGCTGGTTCAACTGTTCCCGAACTTTCGGATCAGTATGAACGCAGCCTTAGACAGCGTGACAGCGCCATGCTAACCGTAGAAGGTCCCGATAAAAGTTCTAAATTTTCGATGCATTTATCTGGGATCAATACTCTCTTTTCTGTATGACTTGCTTTTCCTCTTCCCTTACGTCGTCATGCATCCGCGCTTCTGTGAAGAAACAAGAGATCATCGAAGAAGTACTCTTTCAGAAACAACAGCAGTGGCGAGAGAGATTTGCTAAAAACTAGCGAATTATGAAAGTTCAGAGGAAGAACGAATGCATAAGGTTGCAAAAGGAAGAAAAAACTGCAAATTGTGCAAAAAACGAATTCTGGCATATCAAAATAGGCAGAAGCACCGGTTACTGGTCGAAATGCACAACAAAACCTTCGGTAGCTTTGTGCCAGCGGTGAGAGAACGCTGTCTTAAAGGCAGTGGATGCAAAATCCAACAACTCGGGATTTCAACGCGGTAAGTTCCTTATCGCCCAACTATGAAAACAGTGCAATCCCGGTTGCACAGCATGCTTTCCCTGCCGAGAAAATCGTTCTCGAACTTACACGCGCAGGCAAATCTTACACGCATCTGGACGAGTTGGCAATTTCCTTCTCATCATTGGAGGCTGCCCGCCGCAACGCTATAACCATTGGGTCCTGCCACGATTTAGCGTCATCAGCCTTGCTCCACTCGTCCAATATTAGAGGGAAGGGCATCAAAAAACGCTCATTTTCGCCGTTTCCAAGCTTTCAGAAGTGGATTTTCGGAATCAGCGTATTGAAAAACTCCAGGTAAGCGCAAATTTGACTAGGTTAAGATTTGCCGAGCCACTGCCTTTAAACATTCGCCGTAGACTCGAGCAGCCCATAGTTTTGTGTAACGGCAGAATTGATGCGCTACACAAGTAATCAACTTCGCGACAAAATAGTGAGACTCCATTATGCGTCGGGACAATGCTGCCAAAGACAACGCTTTAGCGCAACATGCATCTTGCAGGTGGTACGCGGTAGCTTGCGCGCGTCACATACTGATGTCCGGACGCAACTGGGCTATCTCAGAAAGCTATCTTTGCTATATCCTTACTTGTCTTACACTGTATGCCTAAAAATGAGATATACAATGCACATTCCAAATAACAAATCTATTACAATTTTCTAAAAATGATATACAGGAATGATATTCAGACACACATTGTTGTTGTCTATTGGCCCGCCTTCTTCCACTCGAATGCTATAAAATCGTTGAATCTATCCACGTTCGAAGCGATAAACCATTTCCTCATTTCTAAATTATGCTTTGATATTCCTTTATTTCGAAAAGCAAGAAAAGGTCGGAAGAGCTCACGCAGTTTGGTACTTTGATATTGTGTTTAAGCAGCACAATGCGCACAAAGAGTTGCCAGCATATGTCGGTCAAGATAAAATTTTGAGCTGAAAGAGGAAGATAGTATTGATTTGTTCCAAAAGTTCTGCCAGTCCTCCGCACCCTTTTTGAAATGTCTATCCAAGAAAAATTTTTCATGAACTTTGCATGCTTTTTTTAGAAAGCTTTATTGGAGTTTTTTATTTGCCATCTCACTTTCAAAAAGATTCAGTCTGTAGCTTCGCATCGTTTACCTGCTTGTCGAGACATGGTTCTCGAAAAACTAGAACTTAGACGTAATTAGCATAACTTGACCTGTCATTAATGTCCTTATAGGTTGTAAAGTCTCAAGCGCAATGCAATCAAGAAGCTTTACTTCGATACAGAAAGGCTAGGTCTAGCACATGTTGTAATGAAAAACAAAACTTGTTCAACTGCTTATCAAGGAAATCATATTCTTGCAATCTTAACGAAAGACAATGTGGCGGGTTTTTTCAGATTTTTTACTCGTGGAAGCCTAGTAAAAATCCGAGGTTAGTCTTACTTTCTAACCGACCACTGGCTACACAACAGTAAAGTTTGCAATGTGGTGAGTAGTTAGTATGCCAGCACGAGGTTAGTAGATTTATTGCTAGTAGTGGCGGCCTAACGTTTCGACGATTTCGTCTTCTTCAGAGGCCTAAAGTGGTAGGAGATTCAGATCTTATGCTCTTAGCTTATGCTCTGATGACGCGCGCATTTTGACGGCAAAACAGTTGAAAATAAGACCGATCATAAGTTGTGTAGGAGGACCAACCGACCGAATTTCCTGGTTCTTGAATAAGATTGTTAATCAGCTTCTAGACAAAGTTCCGTCTCATTTAACCAATACGAATCATTTCTTGGAACGCCTTCGCAACACTACTTTGCAAAAGCAATGTATAGCAGAATCTTTTGATGTCGTGTCTCTGTACACGAATGTTCAAAATGATGATGCTCTCCAGGCAGTTTCGGAAATGTTGAACAGCTTTGGTAGCAACATCCAAACCTTCGGGTTGAGTACAAGATCGGTTGTGCTCCTGATCCAAGAATGCCTTTCTTGTAACATCTTTCGGTGGTCAGGAACATACTATACTCAACTAAGAGGTCTTGCAATGGGACAGAGACTAGCTCCAGTACTGGCGATCTGCTTTATGAGCAGAATAGAAGAACCAGTGCTGTCACGTATGCTTCTTATGTATTGTCGTTACATCGATGACTGTTGCGTCATAACATCAACACAATCCGAAATGGATGAGTGTTTTCGATTACTCAATCAACAGTCACAGCACATAAAGCTTACGCGGCAGCAACCGAAAGATGGTTGGCTCTTGGCTCCCCTTTCTCAACGTACAAATCAAACTGTTTAACGGCGCTGCGAGTGTGAAATGGTATCGTAAAGAGAGTTCCAAGAATATCTTGATCAATGCTCGTTCTGTACATCCGATCGCTGTTAAAAGAGCTGTCATTCGTAACATGCTCAAAACAGCAACGAACGTATGCACAGGAAAAGAAGAACGGAAGGATTCACAAAGTAGGGCGCTGGAGATTGCTCGAATGAATGGTTACGCGCCCCAAAAAGGACGCAGAAGACCATCCATTTCCACTCATAGCAATCAGCACCAACAGAAAGTACCTCTTTGCCTTCCTTTCGTTTCTGACGAAACTAATGCTGCAGTGCGGCGATGCATTGATCGTGCGAACTTGAAAGACGATGTCATTTTAGTTGATATTCCTAGTGATAACATCAGAAAGCGGCTAGTTCGTAACAGACTATACTACAACTACTGCAGAGTCCAAGACTGCGTAGTTTGTCCATCCGGTAAAGTTGGTGACTGCGGTAAAACGGGTGTTATATATGAGATTGAATGTGTCGAGTGCAGCGCCACTTAAATCGGAGAGACTGGGAGACCGCTTTGGGTAAGAATAAAGGAACATCTTGCCAGCAAGAGACGGGGAAGTCTTACCACACCGCTTGGTAAACATAGGGTTGAATTCCATTGTGGTAAAGACTTCAAAATTACGTGCACTATACTGGCATACGAGTCTGATACTGCTAGTAGAAAAAGCTCTCGAGGCATTCTGGATTTTTGCAAGAAATCCATGCATGAACAACCGAAATGAGTGTGCGTCAATCACGAATG